TTCTCCATGAACATGCATGCATAAGAGAGCCCCCCACAGGGTCTTTATACTGTGATTCACTCCCAGCTTCAACTAGCCCTGGATCATGGGCATGTTGTGTTCAGTGTACTCAGGAAGGCCTCTGGACACAAACCTGAACTCTTCTCATGTCAGCCAGCCTCACAGAACATCACATTTTATCACCGCACCATCATCTGGCCCCTTGCAGATTCTTTTTTTTTTTTTTTGGAGAGATTTTCACTGTAGGGCGCATGCGCTCGCCAGACAGACAGAGACATAGAGACAGAAAGCGAGAAATCACCCCCCAGGGGGGATGGTCACGCCGCAATCCCTTCTCCTCCATTCTCCTCTTGGGATCTTGGGCACGCACGCACACGCGCCCGGCGTGAGTTTTAAGCCACCGGGTCTGGGACACGAACCGCGGTCGACTACGTGGGAATCCAGCGACATAGCCATTACGCTAACTGCTGGTTCCCCCCTTGCAGATTCTTAATACACATTGATAACCAAGGCCTGGGCATAGAACTTCTACCTACAAACCAAAATAGATGAGAACTTGACAGAGGTCAAAATGCATTTTATGTTCTTCCAACAGATTTCTCCATGGGGCAAAAATTATTTCCCAGTGTTCTGGAGGGAAAGTGTTACCTATGATCTACCTCTGTCTTGTTTCTAGTGTGACATGGAAGAGAATGATGCACGCGTTAGGTGGGATGTCCAATGAATTAACAGGTGTGCAATGCAGAAAAGGAAAGATTTGGTTTTTCACTCTCCAGTTCTGACTAGGCAGGACCTTGCCCTGAACAAGGTCAAGGTCATTTAGCTCAGAAGTCAAACATTTCCTGGGACCAGCAGTTAGTGTAATGGCTATGTCACTAGACTCCCATGTAGTCGACCACAGTTCGAGTCCTGAACCCAGTGGCTTAAACTCATGCCAGGTGCGTGTGCATGTGTGCCCAAGATCCCAAGAAGAGAATGGAGGAGAAGGGATTGTGGCATTGCCATCTCCCCAGGGAGTGATTTCTCGCTTTCTGTCTCTGTCTCTCTCTTTCTGGCGAGCGCACATGCCCTATAGCAAAAATCTCTCAAAAAAAAAAAAAAAGTCAAACATTTCCTGAAACAAAAAGGCTTCTCTGGTATTTGGTTGAGCTGATGACTTGAATGACTTCTTTCATATCGGAAGCCACTGGCTTTGTTTGGGTATATAAAGTGAGAAACTGGCTTCTCCGGGGCACCAAACAAGTCCTTATAAAGTTGCTTTTTAGGCTCAAACTCATTTATCTCTGACCCAAAGAGAGTGTTTAGGCTGGTCACTATGGCACACAATCTGCTCTGCAATGCCGAGGTCATCCCAAGGTCTTCCTGTGCACAGCAGGCATGAGCACATGCTCCTAGTCCAAGCCGGCTGAGGCTGGGGGAGGATCATGGTGTGGGGACCCTGTTGGGGGTGCCATCTCTCTCCCTCTCATTCTTGCTCATGGAAGAAATAAACAAAAATAAATAAAACAATATTAGAAAGAAAGAAAGAAAGAAAGAAAGAAAGAAAGAAAGAAAGAAAGAAAGAAAGAAAGAAAGAAAGTAAAGGAAGTGCCCAATAGACTCAAGCAGACCCATGAGGAATTGATAACCAAATCTACCAGGGCAAAGAGAACACTTGAGGAATGGAATGTTCCTTATTTTGGGATTGTGGAGACTTAGAATAAGACTGTAGCTTCCAGGCTCAATTTTAGCTTTATATGCAGAGAACCTCCTGGGAACAAAGACAAAATATATGTGTTTGCCAGAGCTGCGTAACAAAGTACCACAAACTGGATTGTTTCCAGCATGGCCTACAGGCAATAAAATTTCTAATGCCTGATGCTCAGGTCCCTCCCATAAAATAACACAGTACTGTATGTAAACTACATACATTCTCCTGTAAACTTTAAACCAACTGTAGATGATTTATAATCCCAAATGCAATGTAAATGCTAAGTAAAGAGTTGCTATGCTATGTTGCTTAGGGAATAATGACAAGAAAAACATCTGTACATGTTCAGTAATGATGTAATCACTTTCTTATTTCAGATATTTTCAACCCATGGTTAGTTGAACCTACAAATGCAAAACCCACGGAGATGGAAGCCTACTATATATTGTATATCCCTCTGTATTTTTACATTTTTTTAAATTTTAAGGTATTCTGCCATAGGACACATTTGCTTGCATGAAGAGAACAGATACAGTGAGAGGGAAAGTGAGAAATATGCCCCCCCTCCCCCGCCACACTGTATGGCCATGGCACAATCCATTCTCCTCCTGGGATTTTGGGCACACTTGCAAAAACACCTAGCATGATTTTTAAGCTGACAGGTCTGGGACTGAACCATTGGTCAGCCATATGGGAGACCAGCACCTTAACCACTATGCCATCTACTGGCCCCTTTCTCATCCCTGAAATAATACAATTTTTTAAAATTGTCAGGGCTAGGCCAGCAGATGGCATAGTGAATACATTGCTGGACACCCACATGGCCAACTGTGATTGGAGTCTTGGACTTGGTGGCTTGAGAATCATGCTGGGCATGTGTGAATGGAGATCTCAAGAGGAGAATGGAGAAGAAGGAATTGTGGCATGGACATCCCTCCTGGGAGGTAATCTCTCATTTTCCCTCACACTGTCTCTGTCTCTCTCTCTCTAAAAAATAAAAAAATTATCAGAGCTTAGGTGGTGGTGCAATGGTGACACAACTAGATCCACATGGGAAAGGCCCTGGGTTTGTGTCCTGGGATCTCCCCGGGAATGCCTTTGTGATCTGGGCTGCTGGGACTGGAGGTGCTATGGGGAGTGTCCATCTCTTTGTCTCTCTGTCTTTCTCCCATGGAAGAGAGAAATGAATTAACTTTTGAAAGAAAAGAAATGGTCAGGAATCAGTATCAAAGCCTACCTAGCTATAGGATGGTGTCCCTTACTCGCTTGGTTAGACAGCAAAAGGTCTAAGTTTAAATTGTTACCTTTTTTTTGTTGTTAAAACTAAATTGTGAAGAAGATATGTGTACACACATTTTTGGACATTTTTTTCCATTAATATCTACTCCTGGAAGTCTAATTGTTAGGTTAAAGGATATTTTTATTGTTGATACAGAGTATCTTCCAGAAAGTTTGTATAAATTGGGCAGTACATATTTTTTGTCACCACATACTTTATCATATATTTACTGCTTATTTCTATTTTGTCTCTTATTCATTTCTTTAGTGAGTGATGGCAGTAATTCAGACCTATTCAATGATTTTTTTTTTTTTTGAGAGAGAGGTTTTTGTTATATGGCATGTGTACTCATCAGAGAAATAGAGACAAAAAGTGAGAAATCACTCCCCAGGAGGGATGGCCACACCACAATCCCTTCTCCCACATTCTCCTCTTAGGATTCTGGGCACACATGCACACATGCCCAGTGTGAGTTAGAAGCCACCAGGTCTGGGATTTGAACCGCAGTCGACTACGTGGAAGTCCAGTGACCAGCAACGTAACCGTTATGCCATCAGCTGGTCCTCCTTTCCATTGATTTTTAAGAGTTGTATATAAATTAAGATTCTAAATCCTTTTTTTCCTCTTGTATGTTTTCCTAGTTTATCTTTAAACTTTGTTCCCAGTTTTAAATCTGAAACAGAAATGCCTGATTTCCTAAAATAAAACCAGTCAGCTCTTAATGGTTTCTCACTTTGTTGTTTCCTGGCTCTGTCCCCATCCATTTTATATTCTAAAATTCACTTGTGCTTTAAGAATTTTTGTATTTTAAAATCTTGAATCTTATTTACTATAACATGTGAGCTATTTTTTTTTTTGAGAGGTTTTTTTGCTATAGGGCACATGCGCTCGCCAGAAAGGCGGAGAGAGACAGAGAGACAGAAAGTGAGAAATCACTCCCCAGGGGGGATGGCCACGCAATCCTTTCTCCTCCATTCTCCTCTGGGGATCTTGGGCATGCATGCACATGCGCCTGGCGTGAGTTTAAGCCGCCAGGTCCGGGACTTGAACTGCAGTCGACTACATGGGAATCCAGCGACATAGCCATTATGCTAACTGCTGATCCCAATATGAACTAGGTTTTAAACTTGTGTTAATGCTCCCTGGCTGAGTGAATATAATTTATTTAACATTTTTTATACTTTATTTTCCCAGTGACCCATTTATTGTAGGATGAGGTGTTAACATCCTTAGTCCTAGGCCTAGTCTCTGGCTCTTAATGCTCTTTTTATTTTCCTTTATGGTAAGAATATCAGAGATGAACACATCTAATGGTTAGCGCAGTCATGTCTGGGACAATGTGTGATATACCCCCTGTTTTTTCGTTTGGGTGCATTTTGATTTTCAGGTAGAGCTTCTCAAAATCTGTCCCGCCTTCTCTTCGTTTCATTCACATCTGAAAAAAAAAATTACTTGGCTGGGCTAATTTAGTTAAAACCTCTGTATTCCTAAATCTCTCTCTGGCTTGGCGGCTGCTGGAGCCCCCGCCTCTCCGGGCAGGAGACGGGGGCTGAGAGAGGAGAGGTTGAGGTGATGGCTTGGAGGTGGCAGGGAGTGGAGGGGTACGTGGGGCGAGGATGCAGAAAGGGCAGGGGCGTGGAGGGCAGGGACAGGAAAGGAAGGGAAAGGGATTAGGGGCGTGACCTGGGCGTTGGGTGCAGTGTGGAGAAGGTACCCATAATGTAGGGAGGGGCGGCGGCGAGGAGAGGTGGCAGTGGTGAAGGCAGGGTGGGACGGGAGTGGTGTGAGAGTAAAGTGGGGTGTAAAGGAATGGGGTGACGGGGAAAGGTGAAGCGAAGTGGAGGTGGTGTCCGCGAGTGGCGAGTGTTTTGGTGCCGGGCGGAGGCGGTGCGGGATGCCGGCGTCAGTGGCTGCTGCCTCGGCCCCGCCTTCCATGTGGGCGGAGCCTCGCGTCCGAGCTGTGGGCGGCTGAGGTCGGGGTGCAGGGCGGGCGGGGCCGTGGGCGGGGTCACACCCTGTCCAGCTCGGACCGCCTCTCCCGCTGGGGCGCGCTCAGGTCCAGGCTTCAGTAGGAGGGCGTCGGGGACCCCGGGCGCACGCGCAGAGAGCGCTGTACGGTGGGAGGGGCCGTGTGGGCGGCGGGGTCTCCATCTTCCTCCCCTGAGGCAGCGCGGACCCGGCTCAGCCGACGCAGCTGCAGAGCCCCAGACTGGCCTGGCAGGTGAGGCAGGTGAGGCAGGTGAGGCAGGTGGGCCAGGTGGGCCAGGTATTGTTTAACAGGTGTCGCGCGCACTGCTTTTCGCTCTCTTTAGGCCCAGCGTCGCCCCCTCCGCAGTGAACGGCGTCGCCCAAGTATCTGAGAAGTGTTGTTGCCTGTTGAGCCCTGGCTTTCCCGCGTCTTGTGGCCGATTCTGCGGGACCGAGCCGCGCAGACTCGTTTCTGGTTCCCCGCAGCGCTTTCCGTTAGAATTGTCTGCCGTGGTGGAAATGTCGCGCTTCGGCACTGGCCAGGTGGCTGTTGAGTCCTGGTCTGTGCCCAACTTGGCTTTGTCCGCAGCGGTACTGCTTTGTGTTTGTAGATGCTTCAGGCTGAGGTTTCTGGGAACTGAGTATTCTTAGGCAGATTTGGGGCCCCGATTAAACTTCTAGCAAAAGCGAGTTTGTCTCACAGGCTGTATTGGACAAAGCAACTCTACCAAGTGAGAAGGAACCAGAATCTCACCGGGAAGTCCTCTCAGCTCCAAAATCTGTCGTTGGAGACCTATCAGCTTCAAAGAGGCCGAAGAGATCCAGAAGGGAGCGTATTGCCCCGGGCCGAGGCCTGAGTGACTGCACTACATTCGGAAGCCATTACAGACTGTGAGTCACTTGGCAGAAAGAAGGGAGCTGGGGCCACCTCATTGGCGGATGCTGCGGGAATTCCTCGACTGGGAAGCTTCTATCTTTAGCTCACCCTAAACTGCACACCCGCTACCCCCACTTCATTCTCCACTAATTTTTTCCAGAAGCTGGGCACCTTTGTGATCATGTCCGTTACCATGTCTGGCATCGGAGATGTACTGCCATCTGTCTTTCCCGATGTTATAGGATCTGGAGGAACAGTAGTGCAGCTATTTATTTTTTGTGTCATTTGAAAGAAGGGTGTAATAATGGACCTCAAAGGCGAAGTGACTTGTCTAAAATCAATAACAGACTAGAAGTCAGAGTTTTGGGGTTAACACTATCCACAATCAAATTAAAACAGGCTTCCTATTAAGAGATCCTTTTGAGAAAGGACAGTGAAATTAGAAGAGACAGTTTTGGGGGTGAGAATGAAGGACTCAGGGGAAAAATTTGAACAGACACAAGAATGGAAAGTTACCTGTTGAGTATGCTGTATAATATATGGTAGTATCTTTGACTTGATCGACATATAATGCGTGCATGCTTGTATGCTGTACAGTGATTAATTGTAAATTTATAAAAATTAAGGGAAAAAACAGTTTTAAAAAAGACCTATGCTGGGACCAGCAGGTAGCATGGTGGTCAAGGCACTGGAATTCCTACATGGACGACCACAGTTCGAGTCCCAGACCTGGCGGCTTGCTTTCTCACTCTTTCTGTCTTTCTCTGGCAAAATCCATGTGAAAATAATACATACATACATACATAAAATTCTTTTTTTTTTTTTTTTTTTAAAAAAAAGACCTATGCTCAAAGTACCTTTCTTTCTAAAGCTTTACAGATTCTCACACTGAGGGGTTAACATTATTGATAGAAAAACAGATGTGGAAAACAAGTGCACAAAACAGCCCTGAGGTGGATTTTCCCCATTGCAACTTTTTTAAAAAGTTTATTCCATGAGTGAGAAAGACATAGAGTACTCCCAACAGGATCTTGATGCTGCATTCCTTGGCCAGTTCTATGTCATGAGTATGCATATGTCTGGTGTACTTATGGAAGTGCCCAGTTGCAGATCCAGAATCTTTTATGGTCAGCTTCTCAGAGCCATTGCATTTTACCACTACTTTACTACCTTACCTCTATACAAGTTTTTTTCTTTTTTTTCTTTTTTTGAGAGGTTTTTGCCATGGGGCACGTGTGCTTGCCAGACAGACAGAGACAGAAAGCGAGAAATCACCCCCCAGGGGGGATAGCCATGCCGCAATCCCTTCTCCTCCATTCTCCTCTTGGGATCTTGGGCACGCACACATATGCGCCTGGCGTGAGTTTTAAGCCACCGCGTCCGGGATGCGAACTGCAGTCGACTACATGGGAGTCCAGCAACATAGCCATTACGCTAACTGCTGGTCCCCTCCCCCCCCATACAAGTTTTGAAAAGGCACTTTTCATTTTTTGAAATGCTGTGATTTGTTCAATCAGTTGTTTGTGATGTTTTTGTATTCTTGAGAGGGAATATAAATTGTTGGGGCAATAGGAGATGCAATACAAGTTTAAGTTTCATGGAATCATACTGGAAACATAAATGAACATGAGGATATTTCCCTCCATTACTCATTCTGTAGGGGTAAAGATTACCCATCTGGTATATGAGAGTCTTTAGGAGGAGAATCAAGCAGATGCAGGACCAGCCATATCACTCATTCTATTCCTCTTTCTTCCTCTTCCAGGTAACTTTTTGAAGAATAGGTTTTTATGCTCTTAGAAAGACATCAGAAAATGAACAAGTCCCAGGTAAGTTGTTTATTTTCTTTATTCTTGTGTTTTCCACTGGATTTCATGGCTTTGATAAGTGTTTGTTTATTAAAATGAACATTTAGAAAGCTACTGCAGGGTAAATCAAGAATGAGTGAGTGAGTGGCAGCTGACTAGCTGGTAGAGGTGGCTGTAGAGTTGTGTAGGTCATGGGATACTACAGATGTCAAAGGAGAGTGGCACATTTTTTTTTCTTCCTAATCTACCTTTGATTTTTACTGACTACAAGAAGAAACCAACCAGTTACTCCTGGGGCTAAAAGACATCTTACTTAGCACTGGAGTTTGAAAAAAAGATGTGTTTGAAGGTCTTCATGGAATGAAGAACCTTGTAGTAATATGCCTAATATGGGGACCAGCAGGTAGTGTGGTGGTTGAGGGTGCTGGACACTCACATGACCGGCCACAGTTGGAGTCCCAGACCTGACTGATTACTGTCTCACTTTCTCTTTCTCCCTCTCTGTCCCTATCTGGGTCAAATTAAAAATAGATAAATAAATAAAGTTAAATAATTATTTAAAAAAGAAAGTAATATGCCTAGTATGTCCTGATAATAAAGCTCAATTGTGGCCTTGTAGTAGAATCCAGTGGATGTTTCCTATGCCTTTATCTTATTAGAACATTCTGCTGTGTTTGGGAGTTGAACTGTATTCACCTTCTCCTGGAAAGGGCCCCTTTCAAGGTGTTTTGTGATACCACTCTTCTGACTTTATTTCTACTGCTCTGATTTCTGTTATCTCCCTGTAAAAGATTTTCATCTGTAGCTCCCATGTTCTTTCACTCTGCCGAATATATTATGCTCTCTGTGGTGTGTTAGCCATGTGTCTCTCCAACCTGGAGTTTTCCCTTATGATTTACCCATGTCTGTGCACATGTATACAGACTCATTTTCAATAGTTTCAAAATTCTAGTTGTTTACAAGCCACCACCA